ATTTGATTTCTTAAAGGAAAGCACACCATTCCAGTCCTAACCTTAGTCAAATAACCAATTTCTCCAACTGTGTCCTGTCACAAATGAAAACAGATTCTTACTGCACTTATGCAAATAACTGTATTGCCATAGTTAAGAATACTCAACAAGTAGTTTCCAATTCTGGAGAAGTCAGGTAGAGAGAAACAGAGATGCTCCAAAGTTTGTTCACAGGAGTACACGAAATTGTAAAAAGCTGTTAATAGCTCAAAAGAAAAGTTTTAAGACTCTGAAAAAGAAAACAAGAATCAGCAAACATATTAAGCAAAAGGTAAAAAAGATTGGTTCAGTCCATGCACTTAATTCCTGTTCTACTTGATACTCCTGAGTCCTGAAAGTTTTTCCTCTATTCTGATGTCACAGTCTCCAAGGTTATCAGACACCTGCATTCAAGAGCGCCTGTTGGAGATTTATAGTTGATTATATAATTACCTTCTAAAGAAGACCAAAACAAGACAACAATTGTCCATTGATGAAAAGAAAAGTTTTAAGGCAGCCATAGTTAAAAGACACAATTGACAAGGAAATTTGTTACCTCCATGGCATACAATTTTAACGTACCAATTATGATTATTACTGATAATATACACTAAGTTATATCAGAATTACAGGAATTTCTCATAATTTTGGAACACATATCAATAAGATATTTGGATACAGCCCAAAGAAAACCAAACACTATTTTGTATTTGACAATGCTTCCTGTATAATTGTTTATACCAAATAAGTCAAATTATGTCATTTTTGGACTTTAGGGATCCTAATGTCTTACAGGATTAATTAGGTTAGAGAAAGACATAATTTGATTTTGGGAAGTTTGTCAAATATAAAAGTTTTAAAATACTTGATAGTACAAAATAGGATTACAGGTCATTGTAAAGTCATTTATTTAACCAAAGTGGTAATTCAAGGAGTTCAAAAAGCAGAAACCTTCATTCTTTGAGAGAGGAGACTTAATTTTCTAAACAAGAAGCCCTAATAAAAACAGCATAAATTCAATTACATTTGTGTTTTGAAATTTTGTAAACAATCTTCATTATAAAATATAACTTCCATAAGTCTTTTATAATCTTTATTAAGGAGTTAGCTAATCCTGCAAGAAAACCTTGCTAATTTGACACAGGGGTCCATATACTGGTTTTGCATCAATGTGCCTTTGACTTTAATAATTAATTTATAGAGAAACTAAACTTACTATATCTTTCAAAATTGGCCCTTACAATCTTATGCACCCACCTCTTCCTCAGTAGTCCCTGAGTCTTGAGGAGTTGAATAGCTTTAATGTCTTGCCCTGTATCTCAGGAATGTAGTTTATTTTGATTGGCATCTTTCTCGGGCCTGAAAATGAGGCTTTAATTGCTGTCAGTGTTTTAGATTTAGCAGGACTTGGTGTCCCTTTTAGACCCAGGAGTTAAAAGCTCTGTAACTCAATGTTACAAGGACTTTAAAAGCATATATAGGACGATACATGGATGTAATGACCTTAATTGAATTTTTTTATCTCAGTTTTTTCCTAAGCAAACCAAAACTTAATAATAATCTGACAACTTGATTTTATAAAAGTTTTTTTTTAAATACATATATCCTCTTATTTTGACTTACACTGACTGTTCATGACATTGTTGGACTTTCTGATTTGTTCTGAACATCCCTCCTTTTTAAACAACCAGTTGCTTTATTTTAGAAAGAAATTTACCATGAAAGAGTCTTTCTTTTATAAAATTATTTACCTTTAAGCTTTCTTACCTAAAAAAATTACCTCTTTATTTTTATTACTTTCTTTACATCTTTTTTTATTTCCTGGTTCCTTTTACCTTGTTTTATACATAAACCTTAAAAATTAGGCAAAACTTTTTCACCTTTTTTTTGATTTAAAAAAGGACACACTTCTTTTTTTCTTTTTATTTTTTAAGCAAGAATGTTTTCCTACAATATATATTTATTGGAAAACGCCCAGATAATGAAATATCTATTATTTAGTTTAATATAGCTTTATGTTCTAAATTACGACCAGTTTGTCTACAAGTATTTATTCCATTACATTTACCTAAGTATTTTAATTGTTTGTGTAGATTATTTATGAAAACTGTGATAGTCATGATTTAAAGTTCTGAAACCACCATTGCAAAATTATAACTGAGACAGTGAAAAAGAAGATTTGACCTAATTGGCTCCATCTTGCTCATAACTTCCAAGTCATCTTTGTTCATTCCTGGGCATAGGCTGAGTTAACTTTGGGAGGAACTTAGTTTATAATTTAGCTTTGAAACAGAGATGATAATAGTCCTTTCCCAAAACAAACCTCCTTATTGTCTGTGAACTAGACTGCCTAAGGTCCCAGGATTAGAAGTTATGGTAATCTTACTAAATTCAAGATGTAGCTATTTTCATTAAACCTGTATCAATGTCTTATTTATTAAATTACACAAGCAAAGCAAAAACCCCATTTTGGTTTGGGCTAGGTTTATATTTTTCTAAACCCTAGGCCAAATTTTGACACTTTATAGTATTTGACAAGCATAAGTATGAAATTGCTTGATTAATAAATTCAAAAAATAATATATGCTGGCAGTTCTTAAGACATTTCTAATATTACTTTACCAATAATTTTAAAGCTGGCTTATTTATTGAAGATTATACTTAAGTTACATAAACTTGAGAAAGCATTTGATTAATTTAAGTGCTTTTCTTTTTTCTTTTCTTTTCTTTTTTTTTTTTTTTTTTTTTTTTGTTGAGACAGAGTCTAGCTCTGTTGCCCAGGCTGGAATGCAATGGTGCAATCTCTGCTCACTACAAACCCCACTAACCAAGTTCAAGCGATTCTCCTGCCTTAGCCTCCTGAGTAGCTGGGATTACACGTGCCTGCCACCATGCCCACCTAATTTTTGTATTTTTACTATAGATGGTATTTCACTGTGTTGGTCAAGCTGGTCTTGAACTCCTGACCTCGTGATCCGCCTGCCTCAGCCTGGCAAAGTGCTGGGATTACAAGCGTGAGTCACAGTGCCTGGCCTTTTATTTTTCTTTAAGCCAATTAATTAGAGCTCTTTTATATATATTTAGTAGTGAAATATTCTGTACACAACATATAAAAATGTATTAGGTCTGCCAATGGAAGTACATTTTATAGATTCACAGAGACCCCCACTTTTTGAAAAACAGACATTTCTGTGTGTCTAAACTGCATTCTTCCTTAAAAGCCCAAGAGTACCCTCTGTTGCAATACTGTTTTAGTCAAAAAATCAGGTGGAAGCAGAATTCATTTAACTGAGAGGAAAAAAAAAACTTCGGTGGCTCAAAAAGACAAGGTCTTAGGAGAAAAAAACAAAAAAAAACCCCAAAATACAAAGACCTTTTAAATACAAACATGAATGCATGTGCGCACGCGCGTGCGCACACACACGCATCTTCCATGTTAGCCTTTTAATTAAGCAGCTGACTTAGCTATTGAGCTCCTTTAACAACAAAAATTTTTAAAAATCTTATTACCATATTTCAGCTGGGACAAAATGTTGCTAAACTAACAATGATCACACAAATTATACAATTTCTGAGCACTTTAATTGTAAGCAGAAATTAACACCAGCTGGTTGTTAATGCTAACTTGAGTTGTTTTAAAAAGAAATTGCAAGAGAGAATCTCAAACTAGTTTTTTACCTAATGACGAGTCTTAGGCTGTAGATTGTGCTCTACCTTCCTAGAAGCAGGGAAAAAAACAAAAAACTCATCTTCCCTGTTGGAAGCAAGCTCAAATTCCATAAAGGAGTCACCTCCCTTCCATTATCATGGAAGCAGGAAAACTTGCCTTCCTCTTGGAAGCAAGTAAAACTCCAAAAAAAAAGAAGGAGTTTTACAGCAAAATAAACTTTAGATCTCACCCAAAGTTTGGGAGATCACGGATTCTCTGGAGGGGTTACCCTCAGAGCTCAGCAAATTGTCCTGTTGATTTGAGCCATAAAGTTAGCTCATGCAGGTACCAAGCATCAATAGATTTTTCAAAGGTCAGAGGCACCTTCACTCAGAATCCATCCATGGTTACCAAAATGTGAACTCTCAAAATTTGTGACAGGTCTCAGTTATTTAGAAAGTTTATTTTGCCAAGGTTGAGGCTGTGCCTGTGACACAGCCTCAGGGAGTCCTGATGACATGTGCCCAAAGTAGTGAGGGCACAGCTTGGTTTCATACATTGAGGGAGACATGAGACATCAATCAATATATGTAAGAAGTACATAGGTTCAGTCTGGAAAGGCGGGACAACTTGAAGCAAAGGTAGGAAGACTGGAAGTGGGGGGAGCTTCCAGGTTACAGTAGGTGATATACAAATGGTTATATTCTTTTGAGTTTCTGATTAGCCTTTCCAAAGGAGGTAAATCAGGTATGCATCTATCTCAGTAAGCAGAGGAGTGACTTTGAATAGAATGGGAGGCAGGTTTGCCCTAAGCAGTTCCAAGCTTGAGTTTTCCTTAGTGATTTTGGGGGCCCAAGATATTTTCTTTCATACTTCTCACCAGAAAGGGTCTCAGTCCAAGAACCCAAGAGAGGGTTCTTGGATCTTGCACAAGAAAGAAATCCAGGTGAATCTATATAGTAAAGTGAAAGCAAGTTTATTAGGAAAGTAATAAAGAATGGGTACTCCATAGGCAGAGCAGCCCTGAGGGCTGCTGCTTGCCCATTTTTATGGTTATTTCTTATATGCTAAACAAGGGGTGCATTATTCATGCCTCCCTTTTTTAGACCATATAGGGTAACTTCCTGATGTTGCCATGGCATTTGTAAATTGCCATGGCTCTGGTGGGAGCTTAACAGTGAGGGCGACCAGAGGTCATTCTCATTGCCATCTTGGCCTTGGTGGGTTTTGGCTGGCTTCTTTATTGCATCTTGTTTTATCAGCAAAGTCTTTATGACCTGTATCTTGTGCTGACCTCCTGTCTCATCCTGTGACTAATAATGTCCTAACCTCTTGGGAATGTAGCCTAGCAGATCTCAGCCTCGTTTTACCCAGCCCCTATTCAAGATGGAGTTACTTTAGTTCAAACACCTCTGACCTTTAGGAGGCCAAGGTGGGCAAATCACTTGAGGTCAGAAGTTTAAGACCAGCCTGTCCAACATGGCAGAACCCCATCTCTGCTAAAAATACAAAAATTAAGTCATCATGGTGGCAGGCCTCTGTAATCTCAGCTACTCGGGAGGCTGAGGCAGGATAATCACTTGAATCCAGGAGGCAGAGGTTGCAAGGAGCCAAGACCGTGCCACTGCATCCCAGCCTGTATGACAGAGAGAGACTCTATCTCAAAATAACAAAACAAGGCTGGGTGCAGTGGCTCATGCCTATAATCCCAGCACTTTGGGAGGCCGAGGCGGGTGGATCATGAGGTCAAGAGATCGAGACCATCCTGGCCAACATGGTGAAACCCCATCTCTACTAAAAAAATATAAAAATTAGCTGGGTGTGGTGGCGCATGCCTGTAGTCCCAGCTACTCTGGTGACTGAGGCAGGAAAATTGCTTGAACCCAGGAGGCAGAGATTGCAGTGAGCCGAGATTGCGCCACTGCACTCCAGCCTGGTGCCTGGGGACAGAGCAAGACTCTGTCTCAAAAAAAAAAAAAAAAAATGTCTTTGACATTCCCTCCTCCCTTTTATAAGAGAACCCTTAATCCTAAGGGTTGCAGAGGGACAAAGATCCATCTTCTGTAACTTCTTCAGGCTGAATAGGGGCAGCGATACTCTCTGGGTAACAATGAGGGTGGTTTGTATTCAGAGTAGAGAGGAGCTCAGTCAGAAAGCATTAGTAATGCTGAGGGCCATTCATAACTCTTGAGTTCCAACAAAAGGTGATATCTGGAAGATTAATAAGTGTTCAATTTAAGAAAACATTGAGTAAGCTTATTCTTCATTCCTACACGAAGAGTACAACTACAATATATTCCACAAAAGTAAAGCAAAATAATTAAAATTATCCTAGTTAAACTAAATTAGAAGGCTATCAATCAACTGGGCAACTGTTGGAACCAGGCTGATCTAGGGTCACCGATGTGCCCAGAATTAGCATATTGACTTCAGATTTTTACGTTACCCATCTCTTTTGCTTCTTTTGAGCAGCAGCCAGAGATTACTGGTTGATTTACAGGGATAAGCAAGGTCAGCCTGAATTGCAGGAAAAAACTAAAAAAGAAAACAAACTAAAAAGAAAAAAACCCAAAACAAAAACAAATGATGAGACTAGAATCTAATAGCAAGTGTACCATAGTTCTTAAAACATAATTTGTCTCTTCAGTTTCCCATTTTTACTAAAGACAAATCATAAGATTGATTTGCTTTATTATATTTGTCCTGTTTATTTGTATAAAGAACAGCAAAAATAATTCTTTTTCATACTGACTTTTAAAATTGGCTTTGATGGAACTCTGTTCCATAAGGAATCTCAGATAAGAATTTTTTTTTAAACCAAGCCCAGCTATGGGTTTGTACCCTCAAATATTGATGAATTGGGTAAATGTCTCTCCTCTTGAGGTCCCGGCATAACTTGGGGCTCCAGGGCCTGTCAGAAAGTGACATTCTTTACTTACCATAGGTTACGAACCCTGTACAGGGACTGTGTAGACAAGGTATGAGGCCAGTTTTCCAAAGGAGCTTTTATTGGCTTTACAAGTCAAGTTTGATTCCTTAAAGAAAGCACACCACAGCCTTGGTAAAATAACCAACTTCTTCAATTGCATTCTGTTACAAAAGAAAACGGATTCTTATTGCACTTAAGCAAATAAGTATATTGCCATAAGTTAAGAATACTCACAAATAGTTTCCAAATTTTGGAGAAATCAGAGAGAAACAAATATGTTCCAAATATTATTTAAAAGAGCATACTTTATGCAATTGCTACAAGCTATAAATGGCTCAAAACAAAAGCTTCCTTGACTCCAAAAACAAAACAAGGATCAGCAACATTTTAAGCAAAGTCAAAAAGATTACTTCAGACTTCTATTAGTTTAGTCCATGCAGTTAACTCCTGTTCTGCTTCATATTCATGAACATTTCAGCTTTCTTTGAGAGTTCTGGAAGGTTTTTTTTCTCTATTCCAATGTCACAGTTTCCAAAGTTATCAGAAACTTGCATTCAGGAACACCTGGTAGAGTTCTATAGTTGATTGATCATAAACCACCTTTTAAAGAGGATTTAAACAAGACAACAATTGTCTGTGGATGACAATATTTTAGGGCAGCCACAGTTGAAAATAGTATTGTTAAGGAAATTTGATTACCTCTGTGGCATGCAATGATTTTATGTAACAATTACAATTATTACTGATAATGTACACCAAGTCCTTTCAGAATTATAGGAATTTCACATAATTTTGGGATACATACCAATAACATATTTATACAAATAACATCCTAAAGAAAACCAAACACTGTTTCACATTTGACAATGCTTCCTATATGATTTTTATCCCAAATAAGCCAAATTTCACCTTTATATTAATTTTAAACTCAATTCTTAATAATACCTTATAGACACATATACCCAATTTTAATGTTTGACCATAAAGTATAATTCTCATAAACCTTTCATAACTCTTTATAAATTTTTGTTAAAGGGCAGATTATAAGCAGATTTTTGCTTTAAGAAAAACCTGTTGTACTTTTAATTCCAATGTTTAATTTACAGAAAAACTGAATAATACCCCTTTAGCTTTAGCCAATATGTCCACACACAGAAATTTTTCTACAAGATTAATTTTTTACAAATCTTTCATGATTTGTTCAAATGTTTAGCTTTATCTAACATAATTGAGAAGCTTTTTCTAACATAATACAATCCTTTAGCCTTCTAAACTTAGGCAAGACATCCACATTCCCATTCCTTCTTATAATCTTTTACCAGAAATACATTTCACTTTCTCTACACACCTTGCATGTAAAAATGTTTTTTTAGTAGTCTCAAATACATGTTACAATGTTAACTCTTGGCGACTTTTGCTTTTGGTGAAAACCTTGGTAAGTAAGGGATTTTAATTATGTATTAGGTTTGGAGCCTAGTATACCAGACAGAAGATCAAATGTCTTTATTTTGCCAATAATTTTTAAAGCTGTTTTTATTTCCCAAACATTACTAAAGTCATGTGAACTAAAAGGCATTACACTTTTTACTTTTCTGACAATATTTAATTTAAGCTCTTATTGTTATTAAACCTATTAATCAAAGCTCTTTTATATCACACATACAACACATAAAAATACACAGACAGACAGAAGAAGATCCAGTAGTTGTAAGATTTTTCACTTGCTTGTTTTTAAATTTAAAGAATGCAGGTCAGAGGGATACCATGGGAAGAAATGCCAGATATAGGTGACAGGGAGATGGAGGCAGCAAATCACATTGTCATGTATGCACCTATGCAACAATCCTGCATGATCTGCACACGTACCCCAGAACCTAAAGTGCAATAAAATATATTAAAAAAAAGAATGCAGGCTGGGCATGGTGACTCATGTCCGTAATTCCAGCACTTTGGGAGGTCTAGGTGGGCAGATCACCTGAGGTCAGGAGTTTGAGACCAGCCTGGCCAACATGGTAAAACCCCATCTTTACTAAAAATACAAAAATTAGCCGGGTGTGTTACCTGTAATCACAGCTACTCAGGAGGCTGAGGCAGGAGAATCACTTGAACTTGGGAGGTAGAGGTTGAAGTGAGCCAAGACCATGGCATTGCACTCCAGCTTGGGTGACAGAGCGAGACTGCATCTCAAAAAAAAAAAGCATGCAGTTTCTGGGGCCTAATAAACAGGCTCAGCTGGAAGGCAAAACAGATCTCCAGAAACGAAGGGTTCCATTTTTATATCAGATCCTGATTCCAGAAAGAAGGAATCAGCCCATCCACAAAACTACATTTCCTATCTAATTATTACACACCAAATTTCTCTCATAATGTGGAGTAATTTCTGATACCCCCTAAAGTCAAAAATGTCAGATAACACAATATAAAACAGAACAGAGCCTTCAATTTTGAGAGTTATCTATCCACTTTTAATTCCTGGGATTCCATGAGAAAAACAGAGGTTTTTCCCAAAAGAAGGTCTGTGGTACTTCCTCTGCTTTTCCCAAAGAGTCCCAAGCTGTTAGAGCTTGAATATCCACTTTTAATTAAGCTGACTTTTTTTTTTTTTTGAGATGGAGTCTTACTCTTGTCACCCAGGCCGGAGTGCAATGGCATGATCTCATCTCACTGCAACCTCTACCTCTCAGGTTCAAGCGATTTTCCTGCCTCAGCCTCCCAAGTAGCTGGGACGACAGGCACCTGCCACCATTCCCGGGTAATTTTTTTTTTTTTTTTTTTTTTAGTAGAAATGGGTGAGTCATCTCTGCTAAAGACCTCCCCAACCTAACTAACTCTGAGATCCCGGACAACTCACTTACCTTTCTGGCTCTCAACTTTCCCATGGGTAAAATGACAATAACAACATGAGCTGGGTACAGCTAGTGCTCGACTTACGACCACGGTCGGGACCACGGACTGGTTGTAACACGATTTGGTCATAAGTTGAGTAGGCTATATGTACAGTTGAAATGGTGCACGCGGAGATGGTAGTGCTGTCGGAAGCTGGTCCGCACTCTTGTACGCCCAGCTGGGCAACATTTGCGCTGCCAGATGCGGAGCAGTCGTGGCTAGTGATTGTGGTTGTAAAGTGGAATGGTCATAAGTTGCATAGGTGGTAAGTCGATCAATACCTGTATAAAACTATGTGGTGCCTAGAAAATAGTAAGTGTGGAATACAGGTGAGCAATTCTACTTCTCATTGTTTCCCTGTTAGTATTGTTTCACCATGTAGAAATCCCTGCCTGCTACCAGGGTGCTGGGCAGTGCCTGGCCCTTCCCTCTGCAGCCTCACCAGCCCAGCAAGCATCAGAGGAGGATGTTTGAGGCTCATGCTAGAGGTGTTCTCATAACAGTCAGGGCTTGCCCCAGTGGTTTTCGTTGCTATCTCCTCTTTGCTCCCCCATGATGAGTGTAGAGAAGAGGCTAGCTCAGCTCCTGTTGTCAGGAGTATGAATATTCCTGATGCTTTTTTCAGAGGTGAACTCATTGTCATCTTGATTTTGGTGGGTTTTGGCCTGCTTCTTTACTGCAAGCTGCTTTATCAGCAAGGTCTTTATGACCTATATCTTGTGCCAACCTCCTGTCTCATCCTGTGACTTAGAATGCCTTATCCTCCTGGGAATGTGGTCCAACAGGTTTCAGTCTCATTTTACCTTGCCCCTATTCAAGATGGAGTTGCTGTAGTTCTTACGCCTCTGATGTTTCCACTGCTTTTTTTTTTTTTTTTTTTTTTTTTGAGGGTCTTTTTTTTTTTCCAGGCTGGAGTACAGTGGCACGATCTTGGCTCACTACAACCTCCATCTCCCAGATTCAAGTGATTCCCCTGCCTCAGCCTCCTGAGTAGCTGGGACTACAGGTGTGCACCATCATGCCTGGCTAATTTTTTGTATTTTGTAGAGACAGGGTTTCACCATGGCCAGGATGGTCTCGATATCCTGACCTCATGATCCGCCCACCTCACCCTCCCAGAGTGCTGAGATTACAGGCATGAGCCACTGCACTCAGCCTTCCCCAGCTTTTTAAATAAGAGAACCTTTAATTCTAAGGGTTGCAGAGGGACAAAGATCCATTTTCTGTAACTTCTTTGAGTTGAATAGGGGCAATGATATTCCTAACTATTAAGGTCTCTTGTGTTCAGGATAGAGAGGAGCTTAGAAAGTATCAGTATGTTGAGGGCCACTGAGAACTCTGAGTTCCAACAAAAGGTGATATCTGGAAAATTAATAAGTATTTAATTTAAGAAAACATTCAGTAGGCTTATCTTGCAATTCTACACAAAGAGTACAACAATATATTCCAAAATAGTAAAGGAAAATAAGCAAAATTATCTCAAGTTAACTAAATTAGAAGGCTTTCTATGAACTGGGCAACTGTTGGAACCAAGCTGATATGGGGTTGTTAGATGATTCCAATATGTGCCCAGGACAGAGTATTGATCCAGATTTTAACATTACCCATCCCTTTTGTTTCTTCTAAGCAGCAGCCAGAGATCACTGGTTGGTTCATAGAAATAAGCAGGGCAAGTCTAAATTGCAGGAAAAAACTCAAAAACAATTGATGAGACTAGAGTTTAATAACAAGTATGCCATAGTTCTTGAAACATAATTTTTCTCTCTCCAGTTTCCCATTTTTACTAAAGACAAATCATGGTAAGACTGATTTGCTTTATTATACTTTGCCTGATTATTTGAATAAAGTGCAGCAAGAATAATTATTTTTCTCATAAGCTCTTTTTAAATGGGCTTTAATGGAACTCTGTTCCATAGAATGAATTTTAGGTAAGACTTTTTTAGGATCAAGCCCTGCCATAGGTTTGTACCCTCAAATACCTATGAGTTGAATAAATTCCTCTCCTCTTGAGGTTCCAAGATAACTTGGGGCTCCTAGGCCTGTTAGAAAGTGACATTCTTTACCTACCACAGTCAGGAACCCTGTATAGGGACTGTGTAGACAAGGTGTGAGGCCAGTTTTCCCAAGGGCTTTTATTGGCTCTCTAAGTCAAGTTTAATTCCTTAAAGAAAAACACACCATTCCAGTCAAAGCCTTGGTAAAATAACCAGTTTTTCCAATTGTGTCCTGTTGCAAAAGAAACAAATTTTTATTGCACTTTATTGCCATAATTTAAGATATTCACAAACAGTTTCCAAATTCTGGAGAAATAAGGTCGAGAGAAACAAATATGCTCCAAATTTTGTCTACAAGAGTATAATTTACTTGTTAAGAGCTATAAATAGCTTAAAGAAAAAGTTTCCTTGACTCTAAAAAACAAAAAAAGGACCAGCAACATGTTAAGCAAAAAGTTGAAAAAGATTACTTCAATGTTTAATTTATAGAAAAACTTAATTCCCCCTTAACTTTAGCTAATATGTTGGCATAGGGAATCTCTTTTACAATTAATTTTTCACAAACCTTCCACAACTTGTTCAAACCTTCAGGTTTATCCTAACTTAAAACAATTCTTTAACCCTTTAATCTAGGCAAAACCCTCCACATTTCCATGTCTTTTTATAATCTCTTTTACCAAAAACACATTTCACTTTCCTTACATGTCTTACACATATAACTGTTTCTT